AATATGTGTAAAGTATATTACATTTAATGTTTTTATTTAAAAAATAATAATAATTACTAAAAATAAGAATAAAGTATTACAATAAAAAAACCAGAGGTAAGGGCCCGATTATGCGACTCAACCACTAACTGGTTGCCTCGGTATCCAAAGTATAATCTCACCTATAGGCTAAAGTTAGTTTATAGTTATAATTTTATATCAATGAGGTTTTTTTAATTAAGTTTGAGTTGCAAAAAATATATATATAATTTATGTTTTAAAAATAGCAAAACATTTTTAATAAATTTTATTCAGTAATAATATTCAAATATTTTCATATTCTGAACTGTATACAATTTGGATTGAAAACATATTTTTATTATTTCATACTTAGAAAGTACCATAAAAAATAAAACATATTGCTAAAAAGTAAAAACTAAGTGACACATAACATCCCCTTTACGCGGAAATGTCACGTGCCACATGGCAGGTCAATTGACCGATCAAATTTTCTTAAAATAATTCTAGTCAAAAAAATTTTCTTTAAAATAAAAGCAAACAAAAAATATCACTTCGTCCAAACATTTCTTGTCACACTTTGATTTTGTATGTATTTTAAATTAATGTTTATATATATAGTACTAGTATGTAAATGATAATTTTTTAATCAAATAAATTTATTTAACAAAAATTATGTGTAAAATTTCAAACACATTAAAAAATAATTTTTAGTTGTAAGTATAAAAAATTAGATAAAAAAAATTATATTATTTTAATATTATATTAAATAATATTAAAATAACTTATTTTTTAAAATAAAAATAATGCTACTTTAATCTTTCTTAATAATTCTTTATTAAAATGATTTAATTTTAAATTATTTTTTTACATAATTTTTCTTATAAGTCTAACTATAAACACTAACCTCTAATATATATGAGGTTAAGGAAAATGTGATAAATATATCTGTCCAAACGGAATATTAATTTGTTGTATACTGAAAAGAGCTAAAAAACCTAACAGATTTTGTGGGGAAAAGGCATTAAAAACTGAAAGCATAGAAAAACAAACAGGGTCAACCGTGAGAACTGAGAAGGAAAGTGAAGCGAAAATAAAAGGCTAAATACCTTTTTTGGTCCTTATACTATTGAAAAAAGCTTTTTTTTGTCCCTATACCAAAAAAATCTTCTTTTGGCCCTAAAAGTTTAAAATCTGGTCTCTTTTTAGTTATTCTATTAAATTTTTACTGATGTGATAGGTTAATTAATGAAAAAATTTATTATTTTTTTTACTTAAATTACGTGAAAAAGTCATTTGGCAAAAATTGATGACATGACCAAATTTTTGGTTTAATATAACCTTAAAAATAATTTAATTACATAATTATCATTATAAATACTTTAAAAGTTATTTTGTGATTAAAAGTACTTGACTTTAATTACTAATTTGCCCCCATCTTTTTCCGCCTTCTGTTTTATCCTCTTCTTCTTCCAGCCTTCATTTTTTTTTTACCTTTGCCTTATAGAAATCAAATTTGGAAAGGCAAACCCAGGACCCAGGTTTGTCGTGAACCCAGGAGCTTGATTTGTTGCGAACCCAAGCACGAGGTTCGTCGCGTGAATAAATGACAAAATCGTAGATTCAAAATCTATAGACATTCACTTATTAGATTAATAATGGCAAAATGACAAACTCCCAAAGTTTGAAAAACACATTCACTTATCGGATTTAAAATGACAAAATTACCTTCACCTTCATTTCCCTTAAATACCTTCTTCCCCAATGAACCCCAAATTTGGAATTCTTGTATCAGTTTACGAAACTTGGTTCAAGTACCCATCTCATTTCGCCTAAATCAATTCAACAAATTCCTTTAAAAAAAAAAGAATTTAAAAACCTGGGTTCTGCAAGGAACTCAGGATAATGAATAGGAAAAGGATGGTAGAGATGATGAAGAGGATGGCAAAGAAGATGGTGAAGATAACGGTAACATGATGATGCCAAGGATGAAGGTGAGGATGAGGAGAAACAAGAAGATGAAGAAATTAAAGTTAATTATGTTTAAATTCATTTAATTCATAAATTAAAAAATTAAATTTTTAATTTGTATACGTGACCTAAAATATTTAGATGAAATGCTTACATGGATTTATAATTTTATCCAAATAATTTCTATGTCATTTATAATATCATTTATATAAAAATAATCAAGTGATGTAATTAATTAACGTGATAAATCAGCAAAAATTTAACGAAGAAATCAAAAGGGGATCAGATTTTAAACTTTAAGGATTAAAAAAGGATTCTTTCAGTATGAGGACCAAAAAGAGACTTTTTTAATAATAGAGGGACCAAAAAGCGTATTTAACCAAAATAGAAAAATGAAAATTCATTATAATCTCAATTAACGAGGTTAAATCAAAATATCACGTAGGCTGATTTTCACTCTGGAGCACGAGTTTTAAGGTGAAGAATTTGACTGTTTTGGGTTGGAAAGAAAATGAAGGCTAATGTTATTCTCACTTCTTCTTTTTTTAAGATCTTTTTTAACTTTTCTTATATTAAAACCCACTTCGTAAGTTTTATTGGGAAAACAAAAAATAATAAATAAAATAAATTTTTTTTAAAATTTTTTTTAACTTGTATGCTAAAATATAAATTTAAAGTGTAATAAGTATATTTTTTTATAATTAATTTATATTAAAAATTAAAAAAATTGATATATATTTTAATTTCACTAACACATTGATGATTTTAATTAATTAATTAAATTAATTAAAGTTAATAGTTATATTTTTAATAAAAATTAATTATAAAAAAGTATAGTTATTAAACCAGTATTTTGTATAAAAAATCCTTTTTTAATTAAGTTAAAAATATATTCATTATATTTTTTATATAGTAAAAAAATGAAAATATTAATATTAATTTTGATACTCATAGTATATATGGAATAAATGTTTTTAATTAGATAACAAACAAAATTAGTGTTAATTTTTATTTTTTAAAAATACACTCTTAAAATATATCTTTAGTATATGTTAAAAAATAATAATATTATTATTACTCTTTACATTCCAAAATAATTATATTTTTTATTTAAAATTTTTTTAAATTAATTATTATTGTTTATTTTTTAAAGTTATAAATATTTTTTTTACTTTAACTATATCATTATTAATTTAATTTAATTAATTATCTAATAAAAAATATCTCTTTATTTTTTATTTTTTAAAGATATTATAAATAAAAATAATTATTATTCTCAAATTTTTAATAAAAAAATCAAATAACAACCGTTTATTTTAAGACAAATGGAGTAATAATATGTATCTATTTTATTATCAAAATTTTTTTTTAAATAACAATTTTATTAGAATTTCATAGAAAACAACTTCAATCTAAACAAAACCCAAAGAGTTGGCATAAAAAAAAAGGCCCTAGAGAAAAAATGACTAACGACGCGCCATCACTAACGACGTTAAGAGAGTTAGCACGTCACGTGAATCTGAAATTCTGAATGATACGGATATTCTGACTGTTAAAAGACTGCCAACTGTCAATTGTCACATCTTTTGGGAACGTACCACCACCAATGCATCAGGAGCTGTTAAATCTCAAGCCTTTCCCCCAACCCCACCTTCTCTTTTTTTCTTTTTTCTTTTTTTTCTTTTTTTCTTCTTTTAAATTTTAATGGCCGAGTGTTATTTTGGGCTTGAATTTTAAAATTAAGAAATGTTGGTTAAACGTTTTTCCTATTAGGATTTTATTTATAATTTGTATTTTATATGAGAAAAAAGGACATAAGTTATGATTTACGGAATGGAAATTTCTCTAAAGTTGTCAAAGAACAAAGTTCATTACATTTTTTTTATTATTCTTATTTTTAAAAATAGGCAATGATTACATTTTTAATTGTTTAGTTATGTTTAGGTATGGTTGTTGGGATCCTATTGTGGAGTACATTAGCATATGGACAATGACATGATTTGGATTAAACATTGTTGAGAAATAGACAATTAAGGTGTAGGGGGAATAAAAACAATTTAAGTGCAATTTAATCGTTTTTTATGGCACGTCTGTGAATGACAACTCCTATCAATTTCAAAATTCTGGGGTGAATATTTCGTTAGGAATTTTTGGTAAGTATTTGGTAGGAAGTGAGAGATGAGAATAAGAAAAAATATATATTATATGATATTATAAATTTATAATTATAATATATTATTAAATAGTAAATATATAATATAAAAAATAAAAAAACTAATCATATTATATTAAACACGTTATACTTGTAAGTTCACAATATTATCACTCCTCCAAAAAAGTTCATAATATCATCACTCCAAAAAAAATGTTGTTTCATCTTTTAACATATGTTTAAAAATGTAAATTCCCTATCCCCATGGTTGAAAGTGGCAAGGCAAAGAGCTTCTTTTTCCTTGTCTAGATTACTTTGTAAATCAATTGGAGGGAAAGGAAACAATTTATATGAATCATGGTTGTCTAGCTAATTTTACCCAATTGCAATATAACTTTTCTATCTACCAAGAAGACTTTTTTTATATTGTCACATGGAAAATTAACCCATGCTTTCATAGCCTTTTCAACACTCAACCAAAGATCAATCAAAACTAAAAGCTCAACCACTTACAATGGATTAATTTGAGTAGGTATCAACATTTTAAAATTCTACCAAAGCTCTGGTCAAAAAATAAATAACAAAATAAAAGCTTTTGCAAGATTCTATATTTAAATTCTAAATAATGATTCATAAATTAAATAGTAACACATTAAATTTGTGGTGAGAATACATTGATTTAAAATGACAAAAGAAAACTTTGGCATAATAGTTGCAGGTAACGTGTTTCAACCTATTAATCATTATCCTCGAATCCCTTATCTGAAGATGTATAATTGTGAGATGTTGCACAACAAAATAAAATTCCTTTTTTGTTCTTTCCTATACCTACATGGGGCATCATACATTCTTACAACATCAGCACTATTAAGCATACTGTAGTTTCTGGATTCCAATGGACCATTGTCTATAGAAATACAATGAAACAATTAGTGGTGGTCATCAAGTACATCAATGAACAAGTTTCAATATTCAGACACAAATACAGCCCCCACCATTTATATCACTCTAAAACGGGCAAAATCAAAGGACCCCACCACCATCTCCTTCTCCCACTGAATCCAAATCCGAACAGGGGTAAATCCCAAATTCACTGAACATGAAGGGCCAAAGAGAAAACCAGAAAAAGAGAAAAATGTGTTTGTGAGAAAGAGGTAAGGTGGCGAAGAGTAAGGCGAAAGTGTCAAACAAAGTTGCCTTTCTCCCCCATACCCTTCACAAGGGTCGATGACACTTTAACATGGGATTGCTGAATAAGACACTGTTACATATGACACCGGCCGTTGACTTGTTCCAGTAGGGTGTAGGGATGCACACACCCTTAACAACCTCCACTTGCCAGTTCCCACCAGAGTTACCCTTCGTCAATCCCAAGACCCCCGTAACTTTTTATTTAATCAATATACCCCTCTTTAAATTTATCTATATATAATTCGCTCGTCTCTCCAAACAGCCAGCTCTCTTCAATTTTTTCCTGTACTTTTTCTATTGGATTGAGACTTACCAACTTGGAGATTAAATCGTTTGGAAACAAGATTGGGAGCTTTTTTGGGGTCACACGGAAATAGCAGAGGAAGAGGAAAGATTAAAAAAGAAAGAAAGAAAGAAAGAAAGGGGTAGGAGAAAATCAAAATACCAGTGATCTTTTTGGGTCCTTTCTGAATCTACTTATCCACTTGATTTTGTCTCTGTTTTTGATTGGATAAGTAATCCACCTCTATGCTCAATCCATTTCTTCTTGTCCATCTGTCCCTTTGAACAAACAAACTGAGTTTTCTTCTATAAAAATCCCATTTTTGCATAATAGTGAGTTTAGTGTAGGAGGTGTTCGGAACAATTTACAGGGTGTGCCGACGATGGTGACTGGGTGGAGGAAAGCCTTCTGCACGTCCATACCCAAGGAGAGAGACACAACAGTATTGGGAGAGAAGCCGCAAAAGAGCGGCAGTGGAGGAGGAAGTAGTGGCGGAAGTACTGGCAAAAGCCCGAGATTTGGGTCCAGGTTCGGATTCTTCTCCAACCCAACGACGCCTCGATTGCAGTCACAACCGGTGTCGACTCCGAGCCTTCGGTGCCGCATCACTACCACCACCAAAACCACCGCCACCCCAACCTCGTCCGTTCCCAACAGCCCCAAACTTCAATGTAAAACCATCACAACCCCGAAAAAACAATCCAACAACAGTAGCCCCAGATTGTTCCAATTATCCAATCCTTCGTCTCCCAAGTCACCATCTAGTTTCTCTCTCCTCAGAGCCACCCTACGTCTTTCCAAGGTAAGAACTTTAAATGACAACAATGTATCATGATTTCCATTATTTTTGGGAAAAAAGCTTGTTACTGACGCTTTCTTGCTTTTAATTTGCAACAGACCAGATGTGGAATCTGCTTGCAGAGCGTAAAAGCTGGACAGGGGACGGCAATTTTCACGGCCGAATGCTCGCATTCTTTTCACTTCCCCTGCATAGCCACTCACACCAAGAAGAACCACTTACTGGTTTGTCCGGTGTGCAGCACCAGCTGGAAGGAGCTTCCGCTGTTGTCTGTCCAACAGCAAAAGATAGAACCTGAAGCTAAGCCGCTCAAAGACATCTTAACGAAGCCGCTGCGTGTCTATAACGACGACGAACCCTTGAGGTCCCCAGTGTCTCTGGCCAAGTTCAATCCAATACCGGAGTCGGAAGAAACAGAGAATGATGAAGAAGAGAGTGAACAGGAGTTCAAAGGATTCTTTGTAAACCACAGTATTACTCCGAAATTTGGCAGGCAAATATCAATTAATTCGAGAAATGTGGAGGTGAGATTGTTGCCGGAGGCGGCGGCAGTGGCCTTAAGCAGGAGCTACGAGACTTATGTGGTGGTTTTAAAAGTGAAAGCGCCACCTCCACCGGCGGCGCGTGGGGCGAGACGTCCTCCGATAGATTTAGTGACGGTTCTCGATGTGAGCGGGAGGATGAATGGTGTCCGGCTGCAAATGATGAAACGTGCCATGAAGCTGGTGATATCTTCTCTCAGTGAAACGGACAGATTATCAATTGTGATGTTTTCTTCAGCTTCCAAGCGGTTGTCGCCGTTAAGGCGGATGTCGTCCACCGGACGAAGATCTGCGCGCAGGATCGTTGAGGCGCTGGAAAGCAACGGCCAAGGAATGAGCGTCAACGACGCGCTGAAAAAGGCTGCGAAAGTGCTGGAAGATCGCCGAGAGAAAAACGCCGTCGCGAGCATCATGCTACTATCGGACGATCGCGACGAACTGTCCAAAACAAAACCAACCAATCCGGATTTTGCAGTCGTCTCATCCACGCGCTTTCCACACTTGGAAATCCCCGTCTTCTCCGTCGGTTTCGGCGAGTGCACTAACGCGCCTAGCGACGACGTGTTCCGTAAAGTAGTTCTCGCCCCACTGAGCGTGGTGGTTCAGGATCTCCGCCTCCAATTAGGTTTCCTCTCCGGATCAGCCCCGGCGGAGATCAGTGCCGTGTATTCATTAACGGCTCGTCCAACCTCAGTCCGGTCGGATTCTTTGCGGATAGGCGATCTATACTCAGGCGAAGAGAGAGAATTGCTGTTGGAATTAAAGGTACCGGCATCTTCCGGTGGAGCCCACCGGGTCCTGTCCGTACGGTCGTCTCACATAGATCCATTCGCACAGGAGGTGGTCTACTCCCAAGAGGAAGGTCTATTGATTCCCCGTCTACATGCCGTGAGATCGACGTCTCCGAGCATCGGACGGTTAAGGAACCTCCATGTCAGTACGAGAGCGGTGGTGGAGTCACGGCGGTTGATCGAGCGGAATGATTTATCGGGAGCGCATCACCTGCTCATCTCGGCTCGAGCCTTGTTGATGCAATCGGGCTCTGGCTCGGCTGAGGAATTCCTGCGTGGCTTGGAAGCCGAGCTAGCCGATCTGAACCGGCGCCGACAGCAGTTGCAGATCCAGAGGAGGAGAGTTAATGCGAACGGTCAGGTGGAGGACAAAGCGGAGCCGCTCACGCCGACATCGGCTTGGAGAGCGGCGGAGAGGTTGGCTAAAGTGGCTATAATGAGGAAGCATATGAACAGAGTCAGCGATTTGCACGGCTTTGAAAACGCCAGATTTTAGTTTTTTTTTTTTTTTTCACCCACTATTTTGTAAAAGAAAACAATCGAAATATATATATATATTTATAAAAAAATAAAATATCAAAATAGCTATGTTGTAAAGTGGGTCGCGGTGATAATGGTGACAAGCAGTACCTGACGGTTAGGCCCTTTCTGCAGAGTTGAGATAGGGTGAACCCATTTATTGCTTTGATTGAGCAAACTCTTTTGTCTCTATTTTGGGTTTTTATTTATTTATTTTTTTTAAAAAAAAGAAAAAAACAACAAAGGATGTTGTATGTTATAAATAGTGGTCTAGGAATGGGAAAATAAGATGTTTTAGGCTGCATGATTGTTTAGTTGATGGGTCTAAGTCAATAGACGGAGTAAAATTTGGATGTAAGTGCAAAAAAGCTGATATGGGTTTTGTGTTGTTGAATGTTTTAAACTTGAAGTGATGGTTGGTGATACATATTGACACGTATTAAAGCCCAAGTGAGTGTTGTTGAGGAAAATGCCAAATTCAATTGGTCCGTTGTTTTTTCGGCCGCCTAAATAAAAGTAGTAAAAGCTTTGGGTGAGCTCAATTTAATATCTTAGTTACACTATCAATTTCAGTGGATTTCAGTGGATCTCATAATAAAACCATAGAGAACTGAATTGTAACTTGTGTAGAACAAATTACATTTTTATAACTATTAATAAAAAGATAAGCCTTTAACTATGAAGTACACATTTTTTTTATTAATACTGAAAAGTAATACAATTTATTTGAACCATAACATTTTCAAATAAAACTATAGGAAATAAAAGCCAAATTTGAACACGAGCAAACAAAATGTTTGATTCTTAATTTCCTACTAACCGAATCAATCGTCGTGAACATGAACAATTAACTGTAGCTGAGTCAATGCTTGTGAACAATTGGTGCGTTGTTGATAGAGAATGTCCATTTGTTTTTATGCGCAAGATAATGTATAGAAAATTTTCAAAGAGGGATATTCTTCATTTCTCTTTTTTAGGCCTAATCATGTCAATAGCTTTTCGAAAGTATGACATATTTTGTTTCCTTCCTTGCTGTGAGACCCATTATGGGTTTCACTTCTACGGCACAATTCATTAAGCATCTGAGAATTGACGCTTATACAATGAATGCAAAAGAAGAAGAGGAAGAAAAGAAAGAATCATTCCACCTTTCTTGTGCGGCTCATGTGTCGCGCACTACCGAGATTTTTCCCTCTTATTGCCCAAAATCAAGACCCCATGCTACTAAATTACCGATCATCATTAAGAAATCCTCTCTAGAATTTGCAGAATTTGTAAAGAATTATCTTCATCATACTAAATTGGCAAAGTAGAGAGGATATTCTCTTAATTAATCATAGTAATCCATGATGGCCAAAAGAAATTCAGATTTCAGAATGATCCATATGACAAATCCTTTTCATGCACTAAAATTTGCCTGCATTGTGCGTGGCCATAATCATTTCAGTTTCTAGTTCCTACAACCTAAAAGAAGGCAAGAATAAAAGGAATGCATTATGTATGAGGTAAAAAGGACAGCTCTCCAGCTGTCATAGATCACTGACCCATTATTAATCATCAATACTGCAACGGCCTTGCTGTTTTATCCACACTACAACATTATTAAATTTATAAATTGACTGTAGTTTATTTTTGGTAAACCCACGACTAGGGAATTCACAAGAAGCAAGCAAGCTCCCGAGTCTAAATTCAAGCTATAGGCATTAATAATGTTATTAAACATCATTGGTGTAAGCTGGAAGCATTAAGAGAAGAGACGGCGCGATCCAATGAAAGAATTCAATTATCCAAAGAAATGCAAGAAGCAAGTTGGTCTAAAGTTTAAGCTCATGGACCACGTAATTATGAAATCACCTTAATTCCAATGAAAAGAAGCATGAATTCCATCCCCTAAAGCAGCAGCTAATCACATGGGAAGGACCACGTCGGTGAAGTTAGGCTTCATCTGTTCTCCCATTTGCTAGGATCCTTCTGTGAATGAAAAATTTTTTCACGTTAGCAAAACTTTAGTTGCACGTTTGTGGAAGGTGAGAAAGAAAGGCTTTTGAAGTCTAAATCTGCGTGAAAGATCAAAACTGGAGCTTCGGACCTTTCCTCCTTCCACTTTTGGGGTACTGAAGATCTCCTTAAATTGCGCAACACTTTATATTTGGAGCTTTTTGGATGAGTAGGTTACCTTTATATGTTGAAGTGGCTTTTGGAGGCGCATCTTGAAGTTGGGAAGCACAGCTTTGTTTATACTCTAATCAACCCAAACCCGATATAGGTATCTTCGTTCGTCCATTGTGTTAACTGTTATGCATATTTCACGTTCATTAATATAAAGGCAAACAGATGCATTTTGGGGGTGGAGACCTGCCAAACAATAGAAAACCATCAGCTTCTCTTCAAAAACATTTTGGATACAGACCTGAACCCAAATGATAGAGAAGTTAGACATAAAACATAAATTTAGTTAACAGATCATCACAATTGTGATCAGATTGGGTTGAATTCACTATATAAAGAGAAAACGAGAAAAGTAAGTAAGAAGAATCAGATGTTGTAACATTGAAATGTTCATACCTTATGGTCATTAGTATGAATTTAAAGCTATATCCTGCAGGCCAACCTCCTGGAAAGGCTTACAGAGCAAGCAACAGCCGAGGGGCAATGTTACTCCCTTTCTTTGTCCATGTATTCTTCTAGGGCTAGGGTATAAGGCTAGAATGCAAAGCCACACATTAATCAATTCCCGACATGAATGTTGAAAGAATTTCTATTTACAACAACGTTCAACCTTAACAGTACAGAATTACAGAGCAGAATTGCCAACACAGCCGCATTGGCTAAACCATATCACAACAATTCCTAGTTCTACTCGTCTCATTTCATCTAAGAGGGAAGAAGGTTTTGATACAATCCCATTTACATGTTAGGGGAATACATCAGAAGTACAACTGCCTGCATTGTCCGGCATCAATATCAGAAGGACAGTATGGACACTTGAAAGATTTTGTGCTGTTCTTTGACATCTTATTGATTGACTGCTTGCAGAGGACGTGGCCACATGTCATCATCATGGGTGGATTATCATCTGTTGATTGCTCCTTAGACACTGGACAAACAAATATAGAGTGGAACTGGAATTCACTATCTAACTCTACTGGCACAGGCAATTGCTTCATTGACTGCCACTCCTGCTTCTTCCCTGCCATCACGGTCATAAACTTCAGAAGTGGGGGCAACCCCTGCACCCCTGCTGCAATAGTCACACTTAATGGGCTTTCATATGACTGCCCCATAAGATTGCAGAACTGCCTGGTAAGCTCCTCAACTACAATATCCCAATTGGTTGGTGATAATACTTCAGCATATGGGGACTGCTCAAGTCTACCAGCCCACAAGAGACAGCCCATGAGTTTCTGGATTTCAGACATATGGTTGCCAGCAAAAGGAACAAAATGCATTCTAGCATACTTAAGAGCTTCATCTCTGCTCCCCTTTTGTAGAATTTCCACAAACTGCAAATGATGAAGCTTCAGCTGAAGGTCTGACCCATTTTCCTTCAGTTTATCAGAATTGTTGGTGGCCCATTTCAATGCAGGCTCTAGGTTTCTACCCTTCATGGCTTCAAGTATTTGGTACATTTCCTGGAAAAGTGATCTTATGGCAACAGCAGCATCTGGTTCCTTGGCCTCATTTATGAAGCAATCACCAACCTCAAACAGCCCCTGCCGATAGAAATGGCTTGCAATTATGTGGTTAACTGTATGTGCATCAAATTCTTCGTTTCGGTAAGCCTTGGAAATATCAGGATTGAGTTTTTCAAGAGCTTTCAGGCACTTGCTCAGTGCTATATTTAGTTCTTTCTGTGTGCCTTCTATTTGGCTGAGTGGGGCAATATCATTCAACATTTTCTTCAATTCAGCAAGGACCAGATTATGATCAGAGGCTGTTGAACACATCATCTCCCACGCCGTTTCAATTTCTTGGATAACCTGATCAATAACTTCTTGGGTCTTACAGCAGGAGAGCTTCTGCTTCTTTGCAACACGATCAAATGCATCTTTAATACTATTCAGCTCCATTTTCAGTTTTATTTTAATAGCTAGATAAGAAATTGACAGCACACCTGCAGAAAAGTAATAAATAAAAGGGGCTCTATTATTTCAAATTTAAATGATGAAAAAATCAATATCCTCCATAGGAACAGGTAGAGACTCCAAAGTCCTCAACAACCAGAAGACCATGTTCATAGTTTAACCTATCCCAAAATACACACCAACACCATGGGAGAGAAATAGTGCATAACTCAAAATCAATGGGAGAAAGCAGATAACATTCAAACCAACTTATGATTCATTGACAATAATACTCTTGAATAAACAATATCTCCATCATGCCACCAATTATCTCAGAAGAAATTAATTTTGCTTAGCCCAAGATTTCTTAAAGCATGGGGAACCATAATCAATTTGTCATTACTGAGAACTCCGAAATGTAAGAATAAGAGATAAAAGAGAAAATGACAAGCTCCAATGCGGATGACATGGCTGTTAACCTGCACCAGAGGCAAGCCTCTCATGTGGTGAATTCTTATTCTTCTTTTTTCTGAAGGGGGACGGATGCCTAAGAGCCCACACTAGTTTCACAAATCAATGGATAGTTCCAGGTCCGTTTTTCAATGTACTAAAATAATTACTTTTCTCCAACAAGTGTAGATTTTCTCCATTCTGAAAATGACTAGACTCAATTTAACACAAGATTATGAAGAGAATAAGCTCAGTGCCTAGAAAAATTAGCCCTTAGAAAATTGCCTTTTAGTAAGAATAAGTCACCCAGCGTCCTATTAATGTCCCATAATTGAGCATGAAGGCACAATGAGAAATAAACATTTCTACCATGAAGGCTACTACTAATGGACCTAGAAATTTAAAGCTAAACAGTAATCCAAGCTCAAGAAACTAAATTTTAGTCTACCAGGTTCAGGATTCAAATCAATCAAATCTTGTTCTCCAGAAATATGACTCTCAGAAAGCAAAACAATGCATCGCCCAAAAAAAAAAAAAAAGAGGAAGAAGAAGAAGAAAGAAAGAAGGGCAAGGGTTGATATTTCAAACTCCAATGTGTTTTGTTGCTTCTGTTTCCACTTTAAACTTAGATTGTCCTTGTTCCCGTGAATTCTCCCAGAAAGCATCATTTATAGCTTTCATATGATGGATTTCAAAAATCTTCAAGCATCCATAAATAGTTGCTAAGACCTTGCAGGTCAAACAAAGGAAAGCTTGAACAGAATAAGCACAACAAGAAACTATCAAATGAAAACCTCTGACACAAAGTCTCCAACTCTGAGCACCATATACACACTCAAATAATCATTTTGGGATATAAAAAGTAAAAAACTGAAATGTAGACAACTTTACCAAATTGCAGTGGTAATTCGAGCAATTTATTCCATTAGCTTTCCATTCTGATACACTTAAAAGAGTTCAAGAAGCTGCCAAGTGCCAGAAAACCTTGAATGCCTAGAAACTTGAAAGTAGGTTTGCATGAGTGGCTCTCTCTTGAATATTAATATTCATAAAAAATGGAACTAAGATTCCCCCTAAAAGATCCATTGAACATGTTTTGACAGACAAACAAAACTGTTACACTGAATTCTGATTCTTTTGAATGGTCATAACTCCCAGCTATGTATTTCAGCTAAACAAGAAGCCTCAGGCAAACACCATATCTCTATAATTCAGTAAGTATGAGCCACATGCCTCAGATGAAAGCAACTTCACACACTGGATAAAGGATCCACCTAGCATGTTAAGAATGCACAATTTTTAACAACTTTTTCCCCAACGAATACAAATCACCATAACATAGAAAATTCCTAATGAAACAGAGGTAATCATAACAAACTTACAAACTAAAATCTGAATGGGCATTTTTTTTTTTTTTTTGGCAGCAAATCATGATGAAATAAGCCAACACAAAGTGTCAGTTTCATGGATGACGTTTTGATATAACAAAAATTTGAGAATAAAAAACCTTCTACGAAGCAGCCAAGTGCAATAACAACGACATAAGTACATAACAAACAGATCAAATTTGACAAAAGAAAGACAGTTTCACCATTCATGAAATCACCAACCATTCAGCAAACAGCACAAAACAAATATAACATAAAT